GACGGCGAGGCTCGGCCTCGCCAGATCCGGCGAGGCCGACCTCGCCGTCGCGACCCACGGCGAGGCGGCGGCGGCGAGGGCCGCGACGCCCTGGCCTATGGCCGGTCGCCGGCGCCGGCGACCGGCCATGGCCAAAGAAGGAAGGATAGAAAGAAAAAAAATTAAACAATTTAAAATATTATTAATTATTATTAATAAAAAGAAATTTTGTGTAGTTACCAAACGTATTTCTATTCTTTTCTATCCCAGGAATAGAAATTTTGGACAGTTACCAAACACTTTCAAATGTTTAGAAATTGTTTCCGGACACAGAATAAAAAAGAACCATTTCTGAGTAGAAATAGTTTCCCGGCATAGAAACATTGTCATGCGCACCCTTAGTATCATTTTCTCCTTTAGTCGACCATCGATCGATTTCGATTGAACTTTAACAATAGAAACCATTGGATTTCTAGCGACCATTACCCGACCAAAAAAGGCGTGCTCTGCCTCCTTATAACTTTGCATCTTCAATCTCAATCTGTAAAACTGAAATGACTAAATTATCCTTTCTTTTTCTTTTTCTTTTTCTTTTTCTTTTTCTATTGAAAGAACATAGCCTGAAATTACTCGTACCACGAAAATCACAATCCACGTCTGCCACCATCTTGTGCTGCCATGAAAGACCAAGATTGGCAATTTGTGTAGCGTTAATCTTTTCGTGTCAAAATAGAGATATAATAAGGTTATGACCGACCCGAACAAGATATCTTTGATAAACATATCGAACTACCTTAACATGAAGCCGAGCCTAATAAAACAGATCACATATATAACACAACTAACACAATTAAAAGAATGTGTTATCGTATCACGTGTCGATGTCACATGAGTCGTTAACTTGTTTATATACATTAACTTGTGCACAGGATAAACTCATAGAAATACGTTTTTATTTCACCCTTTATTCATTTTGACATGGACCTCATTGTTATAAACATTAAGAATAAATAGTTCTTTAAAGATGAGTATTATACATATCAAAACATGTCTATATATGTTGTGTTAAGAAATGACACATTAACTTTAACATGCCGGATCATGTCTAAACCGGTTAAGCGGGTTAATCCATGTAAGGCAAAAAAAATTTCCACGCTAACCGTTTAAGACATAGACCCACTTGTGTCCAATCCAAACCTATTTAATTACATGTGGTTTGTGTCGTGTTGTGCAAACGGGTCATAGTGAGAATTGTTAGTCCAACCGACGACCATTATATGAGGTCATGATGCCATTGACAAAAAAAAAACAACCTCACGGAGTCATTCATGGTGTCCAGGACTTCGATAAGTTGCAATGCCAAGGGAAAACTCTCTTCAAGGTCACCCGGCTCAGCATGTTGGGCGCGCTCAACCACCAAGTCTCTAGCCTGGCCATCCAGTTTTGAGTGCCAGGTTCCTGTCGTATCAAAAGATAAAATCATTTTCTTGAAAAGATTTTTTATTAACTCGTTATTCTAAAAAATCAGAATGCCGGAAAATGAGCAAAATACTTTTCCATAATAATTTTTTTTCGTCAGGAAAGCGACCTTGAATTAAAAATGATAAATAAACAAAATATATTGCCAACGATGTTTTTCGATATTAAAATCTTAGCGAAATAAACGGCCCTGAATTAAACATAATAAATAAACAAAACATATTGGCAATGCCAAATGTTACCGATTCCACCGTACCTACCACCCTCCTCAATTATGAGCAATCCTAACCTCTTCGAGACTCGTTATGTATCGAATCTTGTTCTCTTGTCGTTCGGAACTTTAGTGAACGGACGAGTATATTTCCTTTCGACAAAAAAAAAAAAAAAGAACTCCAGAAAGCGAGCCGAATCATGAGTGTGGCGTGGTCCCTTACGGTCCGAGCCACGGACGCTGCGGTGCCGGCGGAGCCCCCCATGAAACCAATTAATTTAGCGGTTAGGCGTTCGCACTTTCCAATTTTGGTGGGTGAGCTTCAATTAAAAAGAAAACGAGAGAGAGAGAGAGAAAAATAGAGATTTGATAAATAAATAAATAATATATAAAATATTTATTGTCGTGGGGGGAAGGCACGAAATTGAATTGGCCAGCCAACTAACTAGAGGAAAATGTTTTGGTCCCATATAAAAAGGTTCACGAGCCTTCACGGGGACAATGACTCGCCCGTCCTTTTTCCTTTTCCTTTTGCCTCTTGTACGAAGGCACTTCGAGCTCGACCCATTTTTATATTTATAAGTTCGCCACGAGGTTGCGTCGCGGAGCATGCTAACATTATGACGAGCTTTATCTAGTAAATTTTTTTTTTTTGCGATCGCTTTGGCGAACCGAGAATCGCGGTAAAATTCTAACTCTACCTCTCGAATTACCATATGTATGGTAATAAATTTCTAATCGATGCACTGAAAATACTAGGATTATGCATAAAAGAACATATATCTTTACTATACGACACAATTGTCCGTATTTAGTAGAGTTATTACCACGGAAAAGTCCAAACTAGTACACCTATGACAAATTTACCTACCGTTAAATTTTACTGTCAAATTGCTTAGTTAAAAAATACATGACAGTTGACGAATGTACAAGTTTGGTATTTTATCCTCCATTTGTCCCAAGTGTACTAGTTTGTGATTTTTTTGTATTAATTCAATATAATGGAGGGTAAATTTGTCACATGTGTACCAGTTTGAAGTTTTTGGTGGTCAAAAAATTAGCTTTGGGTAAATTTGTCACATGTGTACCAGTTTGAGATTTTTGGTGGTCAAAAGATTAATTTTTGGTAAATTTATCACATATGTATCAGTTTAGGGTTTTTCTTGATATTATCCCTATTATCTAAGGAAGTGATGTTTGTTCCGTTGCCTTGACAAATTTTTTTATAATTTGTACCTAGAGGTGACCTCCTGTATTTTGTCCCCTTAGTCACTGAAGGCCACAAATTCTTTAGGAATGAAATGCCTTAGGTCACAATTTTGGGCATAAATAAGGCTATTGCGACAGAAAATTTCATCGCCAGTTGCGATGTCTATCAATCTTCGAGAGTTCCTCTAGGAAAGAAAGCATAAGATAAAGCGTAAACATTTGACGAAGATAACGGTGAAACGAAACTGTAATGTAAGGAAATACCATGGTCGTACAGAGTTGTGCGAATTACAAGTTCCCTTTTCTATGGACGACAGAATGGCGCGGCCTATTAGCGGGTTTTGCCTGTGAACGTGTTGAGATACACATGTGAATTGTATTAGAAAAGTCCAACATCGGATAATTAATGCAGTGTTAAGTAGTAAATATATCATAATTGGCTCATAACTTATTAGTTTAAGCTTTTGAGTAAAGGTGATCAAATTGAATATGTTGACGGACTCGGCTTGGACTTCCCCCTGATGATCTCTCTGGATGAAGGGATCGGATTTTCGGTACGCACTCCGACGTTGGATGGGGCACCAAAATCATCGGGACCAGCTACGTCCTTGGATCTTCTCCCTTTGCTTTTGTCTCTCGACAATATGTCGCAAAGCTACGAATCTTTGGACACATAGTGCCAAGAACTTTGCCTTAAAGAATTGCATGAGGAATGATTCAATCATTGCACGGGACAAAAGCCCGTGATCGAAGTCTAGGACGATACACTTTGCAATTGCATGACTAGACAATTGAAATGGTTACATGTTTTGTCTCCTTGTCCTGCTAATCATTCTCTACTTTGGCTTCGCCACTAGGATGTCCTTTCAATCGCAAGCTTACGATGTGCATTTGGACCTTATATGCTGAGGGAAATGAGACATCTAATAGAATACTAGAACGTGTATTGATACGTTAGTAGTAGTAAGCATTGTTTAGGAAAAATACTGGTTGGTATATTCTGAAGTTGTAGAATTTTTGGTTACCATATTATGCGGTGGATGTCTGTTTCATCCTGAAAGGGAGCTCAACCCTGTTATGACTCAAGCCCGCTTCCGAAACAACTATTTCAACTGTGACTCATCATTTGGTAAACCAAATTTGCTATACCATTTAGAACACCTAAGTAAACATGATAGCGTAACAAAAATGAGTTGATTACTGTCTGAGGGAACAAAAATTGACAGACCGAAAACTTAGGAAACTTATACTTCCGACATATGGAAAAGATATCGAATGGACCTGGGTCAATAAAATGCAATCACGGCAGTTGATCAAGTGGAACCAGTTGAATATATCTCATAAGTCAAGGTCCACTTGCCACGAATCAAAGTGACTCGCGTGTTCGTGAGTTTTACAATCGAAGGCATCAGATAAGAGGAATTTGTGGTGCATTCTCTGAAGCTCACTCTTGTACAACTATGATTAGAGGGAAGTTCATTCCGTTTCGTATTTACAAGTGATTGATATTTTGCTCACGAAACCTATATGTGAGGCCCACATGATCAATGGCTATGATGTATCCAGTTTATGTGAGCTCAGCACCATGCAAGAATTTGCACGGCAATGAGGCAGTGAATCATTTGAAACCATAGTAAAAGTATTTCCATTATATGGCAGAGTTCAGACTATGTACGTTATTCTTGTGGATCAAGATTCAACCAAAAGACAGCATGAAGAGGAGAGAAGCAAGTTCTTGATGTTTCCAATTGAACAGCTGATTATGAACTCGTGAGCCACCCTTTATTTCAAGATTTGAAATGGATCGTTTGGGTCACACCCACAATTATTAATGAGCGATGCGTGCATGTTTCTACATTTATATTCATCTTCCTGTTTGTCTGGGGTTACGATACGTGCTTGCTTCATCGTTCTTTCCTCTGAGTTAAAGCTCGGAAAGACATGGTGATAACCATCAGAATTTGCACGTCGGTCGTCTTTGGTGGCCCTTGATACGCGGACAATCTAGTCCCACATAAGCTAAAATCACTGAGATTGTAAGAGCCGAATGGGGAGCGAAGCTCAACCATTGTTTCGTACAAGTAATTGAATTTTCTAAAGTATGTCATTGTGAGGCGTTGCGTACAATTAACCGTTCAAAAGATCTATTCGAGGCGCGACTCATGAAAAGAATGGTGTCTTCAGCTCAAATTACAAGGAGATATGCTTCTCGTGTCTCAACAATCCTCTGAGATTTGACGAGTAACGACTCTACTGACGGAACATTAGGCAAAGAGAAAAGCTAGACAGCCTCTTCCCTCTTGGCTAGTTTTGCCCAAGACGAGAGACACCTTTTGATCCCTAATCTCTTTCAATGACACAGTATGATCTCCTGCGACACTTTTTTTTTGTATTCACATAAGCTGCTCCAGCTTATCCATCCATCAGCTAGCATTGGGATTCGCGTTCAAATAGGCGAGAACCCCAACAAATGGGGCGTTTATATATGTCGTCGGCTCGGACTTCCGGAAGTCCACCCTATCGTCCTCGTACTCGTCATCCTCCCCAGGCCCACCGACCAGTGCTCCGACAAGCACATTCGGGTTTGGATCCGAGGAATTGAAGTAAATGGACCCTTCCTTGCAAGCAATAAACTGGGGATGATCCTTGATCGACGGGAGCGACGAGCCACGGTGGTGGATGCGGAGGGGGTAGTAGGCGCTGTACCCGACCATGTACGAGATGCCCTTGGGGTTCTCCCCGAGGATGTAGTCAGCCTGCCTCTTGGCCAGCTGGCGGAGGGTGGCGGCACCGACACTGACGGAGCCGCAGTTCATGGACTGGGAGGTGGCGGAGAGGTAGTTGGCGTAGGCAAGGAGGAGGAACGCAATGGAAGTGGCATGCTGAAGGTTGCTGCCACCGGGCTTGTACATGAGGCCGCCGGGAGTGTACTGGATGTGGGTGGAGGAGGAGGAGTCCGGGATGAGGGTGCACATGAAGGAGTCGGCGGAGGATTTGTAGGACTGGAGCGAGTAGACATTGCCTTCTAGGAATTCCTGAAAAAAGGGGATGAATCAAAAGTGAGGAACTGATGCAGAAAAATTTTAATTGACTAAAATGTGAGCATCTCCTCTGTTCTTTCTTGTTTTTTCCCACCGACTGCCATATGTTTGGGTCCAAATGGAAGATAAGAATAAGGATACAATATCCAATTTAAATTCGACAGTTCTATTTGGTTATTATAGGAGCAATTAAAAGTTGCAATAAATTGACCTTGGAAACAAGGACGTTGAGACCGGCATGCTTGTTGTCCCAGCCGAACTCGTTGATGTTCTCATCAGCGCCAAGAGTTTTGCCATTGTTTTGGATGTAATTCAGATAAGAATCGTCTTGTGTCGCCCTCCTCAGCCACGCCGCTCCCCACAGCAACTCATCCTGTCAGGGACCCACACAAGACAGGGTTCATACATTAAGCTTGTATCCTCCACGGAAGAACCTTTAGGAACTCCAGAAAAAGATAGAACTAGATTCAATTTCATTGCTTTCGTTTAACCATATCATGCTCTTTTTCTAATAATATGTCAGGAGGAATCAAATCTATGTTAAAAATTTAAGTGCCTCCATGTTGCCAGTCAGGCCAAAGGCCCAACCACCAAACTGAGACTATTTAATAGTTCAAGTAGATAGATGGACTGACAGTAACAGTTAAAAATCAGTTCAAAACAGGGTTTGATTTTTTTTTTTTTTTTTTTGAGTTTAACACAGGACAAACTTGATCTACTACTTTTAATTGCCAAACCAAACTTGATCTACCTGATGAGGATTAATATGTTAAAGGGTATAGATTTTCCTTTTTAGAAATTCATCCCTCTGAAAATCACAAAAAGCATTAACAACCAACCTTTCCACTTGGTGATTCACGTACCTGGTATCCATCAAAATCACAGTAAAACGGGCAAACGTGGTCCCTGATGTCCGAATTGTCACTATAAGCTCCTCTGTAGCTGTCTGCAAATTCGAATGCCTTGACGGCATTCTTCAGGAGGGTGTCGGAGTACCCAGGGTCCGACGACCGAAACGCCATGGATGATGCTGCAAAAGCCGCCGCGGTCTCGCCAGCAACATCGGACGCCGGGTTTGGCTCATCAACAGCAAAAACTGTCCTGGCCGTGTCCATGTCCTCCGGCCTCTCCCAGCAATTATGGTCTGTGCTTGGATCACCCACCTTTGACGATGACAAATCATGTTTAACTACCCAGGTCGAATTCACCAAACTTATATACTTACCACACTCTAATATTGTTAAAAAAATGGATTAGGAAAGTGGGTTCCTTTGAGGCAGATGTGAGGTAATATAGTCAGGACATAGCCGACTCTAGTGAGAGACGAGGCAAGACTGGTGGGCCAAATATGTGCATTGATGGGGATGTATAGTGTGGTCCATGCAAGTTACAGCCACTAAAATCACCCTGCATATGCAGACATGCAACAAAACGTTGATGGGTCTGCATGATTAGCATAAGAGGGGAACACTAACACTATTAAGTACGTGACCTACCTAATCTCCCACCAATCTCAAAAGGCAAGAAAAAACCGAGTCAAAATATGCACCAAAACATAGAATTGTCGACACTCCATGTAGGGAATCGAACATGCATGCATCGCGTGGTCCAATTCAGAATCGCGTGTCCTCTTCTCGCTCACTAAGCGAAAGTCATGGAATCACATCTCATCCCTCGTCGCCCTCACCAGATTTCAACACAATAAGCTCGCCACAGGAGGAGGCAATGGAAATGTCCTCTTGGGTCGGGCAAAAACATTAACCTAGGAGTCCACTTGGGAAGACAAAACCGAAGCAAAGGCATCATGCGTGGCGTGATTGCCCACTTAAGGACAAGAGTCAAGATGTCAGTCCGACCGAGACGAGAGTCAGGACGTGCTCAGCCGAAACAAGTGTTCATTTTCAACGCCCATTCAACAATCTGGCCACAAAGAAACGCCCCCCAATAAATTACACAAGACATCAGCGTCCACCTAAAAGGGTTTCTTGGACAGCTTTATTATACGGAGGCTCAAACTCCCCAAAGGGAGGGGGCTCTAAAACCCAGAGCTCGATCGGGTTAATGGAAAGAAGGCACGCAATGCCATGCAAGTTTTAAAAAGAAGAGCTTCGAGGACTTCAAGAAGGACTCAACACACTTTTCTTTACAAAAGGACCTTGGCTAAGCTTGACCATAAAACTAACTTTTAACATAAAAAAGAGTTATTAGCCTAAGTATTGCAATATTTTTTAGTATAATTACCTGATAAGAGACTTGCGAAGAAAAAAAAAAGACATTTTTACTAAGCAAATTTTTGTGAAAAACGAGTGAAATCACGTACACCATTGTATCGCGTATCGATGAACAAGGATGTTACAGTATTGTAGCTCGGAAATTGGGTAAAAGCTACTCAAAAAGTACGTGGGAGTGGGTCCAAAATGGTCAGGACAAAGACAAAGACACCCCTGTGGACTAACATCTGTCCAGTCAAGACTAAAAGCCTCCTCGCTTCTCTCGTTCGTTCATGGCTTTTGGTGGAACCAACCTCGTCCATGAATCTTGCCTCCCCAATCCCCACCCATCACTTTTCCTCGCTCCCTCTCCCTCTCTGCCTCACTCCTCTCTGTAATAAACCCTCAATCCGCCATGCCCACTTGCCCAGAATCATGCTATTTCGCTTATGAACAGATCCTGCGGAAGTGAAATTGGGACGTGAACCTTAACTGTGTAGCATAATGCCCGGTCGTCGTCAATCGTGTAGACCCAAATGAATGTAAATATGGCGTCAATGTGCAATTTGATGGGAAATGAAACTGAAAATTGATGAGGAAATCGACTTTAAGGTGAAACTGGGGTGTGGGGTCACTGATCAAAGGAGGGGCGACGATCGCGACGGCGTGACCATCGGGATTCCGTCGCGAGCGTTTTGCGGACTCACCTGGACGAAAATGCGGTTCGGCTGCGACACCGTCTTGAGGAGATAGTCCGTAGCCCAGCGGATGGCGACCAGGGCGTTCCTCCGCTCTGTCGGGGGCATGAGGTCGCCGAACTCGACGACGCTCCAGGCGAGCAGCGTGGCCGTGAAGGCCATCGGGAACCCGAACTTGACGTTGTCGCCGGCGTCGTAGTAGCCGCCGGTGAGGTCGGCGTCGTAGGTCCAGCCGTCGCCGAGGCCGGAGTTGCCGCGCCAGGTGAGGCGCTGGTCCTGGGGGAGGTAGCCGGACCGCTGGCCCTCGAAGAAGAGGATGGACTTGGACAATGCGTCCCCGTAGTCGAGGTAGCTCGCCTCGGCGGCGGCGGCGGCGGCGGCGAGGAGGAGGAGGGCGGAGGCGGCGGCCGGCATCCTCGGCGGTGGCGGGCGGGGGAGGGGGAGTGTTGCGGAGTGCGTTGGTTTTGGAGGGGAGTCTCGTGAGTGGAGTGGCGGTTTTGGTGGGGTTTTCGAGTTTGGAATTAAATAGAGAAGACGACGATGACGACGACGACATGGAGAGATTTTCTCGGGAGGAGGCAGTTGAGGAGTCTTCTTGGCTCGACGATAGAGTAATGGGATCGGGGATTTCTTTCTGATTATTTTTGTCTCGATTTTTTTTTGGGGTAAAAGAAATTAATTTGTCTCGATCTAAGCAATTGAAATCGCGAGACTAGTGACGGTATATCTTTTTTTTTGGGTTATTACTACAAAAAAATCATAAACTGATATATTTGTGATAAATTTACCCAAAACTAATTTTTTGACAAAAAAAACTCCAAATGATACACATGTAACAGATTTACCCTCCGTTAGTTTGCGTTGAATTTTACTGTCGTATTACTTAGTTAAATGACATATGGCAGTCGTGCCAATTTTAGGGTTTTACCGTTCGTTTGTCTTAGGTGTATTAGTTTGTAATTTTTTTTTGTATTAATTCAATTTAATGGATGGTAAATTTGTCACAAATATACCAGTTTGGAGTTTTTTGGTAGTGAAAAACTTAATTTGAGGATAAATACCACGAAAAACCTCAAATTGGTACACATGCGACAAATTTATCCCAAACTAATTTTTTTACTACCAAAAACCCCAAATTGGTATACATGTACCAATTTTACTCCAAACTAATTTTTTGACCACAAAAAACCTCAAACTAGTACATTTATGATAAATTTACACTATATTAGATTCGATTAGAATTAATACCACTAAAACCTCAAACTGAGTGACAAATTTACTCCAAACTAATTTTTTGATCACCAAAAACTCCAAACTAGTACATTTGTGATAGATTTACCCTCCGTTAGTTTTTGTTGAATTTTACTGTCAAATTGCTTAGTTAAATGACATATGGCAGTTGACGAATGTACCGATTTTGGGGTTTTATCCTCCGTTTGTCCCAGATGTACTATTTTGTGATTTTTTTTGTATTAATTTAATTTAATGGAGGATAAATTTATCACAAATATACCAGTTTGGGGTTTTTGGTAGTCATAAAATTAGTTTGGGAAATTTGTCACAAGTGTACCAGTTTGGGGTTTTTCGTGGTATTAATCCCTTTTTTCAGTTTATAGTAAGGTGGCTATACAATTCAATACGGTCGAATTTTGTTAGGTTTGATGGCGTCGAAACCATATAAAAAAGTATCTGATTCGAGTTTACCACATTTAACATGGACACAGAATTTGCTATCATGATATATCCTCACACCCTGAATCTCCTTACACGTGTATTCGGTATCATTTTCCTGTGTTTCTCATGAGCTTTCGTATGAACCAGCCTTGTTTTTTTTAATAAAAACTCAGTTCCGTTTGTTTCACGAATAATAAATGAATTTAAAAAATATTTTCCTAAAGATGAAATCGCTTATATCACTTGGAAAATTAAATGAACAAAAAATATTTTCAAAGTTCACGAAAATGTTTAGGTATTAATTGTTATTGATAATGAAAACATTTTCTATTGACTAATTATTTCAAAAGATACAAGCAATCATGTTTAGGAAAATATTTTGAAACTCATTTATTTTTCGTGAAATAAACGTAGCATTATTGTTTTCGGACTATTCGAGCATTTGATTTGGTCCTTGGGAGTGTCATTGTTCATGCATAACATGAAAACTCGAAAATTGCCATGTGTATAATAAGAATTGGGAATTGCGAATATCCTAGCGGACTTATTTATTTGGCAAATATCCTAGCGGACACATTTTTGAAAATGTGTGTTGTGTAGTAAAATTAAAGGGAAAATGATATAAATTGTCTCCAAATTTTGGTTAAATGTGCATTGTCATCTATGAACTTCTAATTTGTTTGATGTGGCTCTTGGACTATTGATAAAAGTTCAATATAGTCATTGTGTTTGCTCAAACAACAAACCGGACGTTATTTGATGACGTGGAATATTATATGCTCAGATTAAATTTTTAAAAAAACGAGTCAACTTCTTTTTTTTTTTTTGGTGTAAAATGTAAGTATTATAAAACAAATGAAAAACAACAGCTTAGGGGCATTCCCTAGCTTTACAATAGAGCTAATAGTTCAAAAAGATGGAGGTAGGGAGCCTCCATATAGTAGCAAAAAATACATTGGTCTTGGAAGGTCTAATTTTTTGGAAGAGCAAAGCTCTACCTCTTACATTTTTACGCACGTTAGCCATAATAATATGGATGTCAGATAACTTATTTTGAAATTGCCTATGGTTGCGCTCCATCGAAATGCCATACATGGTTGCTAGAAAGGATACTTTGAGGAGTTTTGCCGCCAAGTCTTTGCTTTTTGTTACCCTAATCATCCATTGAAGTTCCTTATTCCATCCTCCTAGCGGACGCCTAATCTCATATTGTGCAAAGATACGACGCCAAATGATGCATGTCCACTCACATTGGAAGAATAGATGTGTTCTATCTTCTATATTGGCCTTACAGAAGTTACATTGGATATCAACTGAAGTCATCCATTTGCTGATAATATCTGCTATCGGTAGTCTGTTTCTGCAAACAAGAAAGCCAATAAAATTGTGTTTGTTAATTCCACTAGTCCAAATCAGGCTATATCACTCCACAGCTGGTCCCACATGTCTGATCTCATCATAAATTTCTCAGCAGCAGTACCCTGAGCTATGGATAACCGAAGTTAGAATAGGTCACAATTTAAGGAGACATCGCCAACTCCAACTCATACTGCCCCTAATGTTGATATGCATAATTGGAATGCCTTTGCATTTGGTATTGTGAACCCGTATACTCCAAAGGAAAGAGGATGGCCGATTAATGAGGTTCCAAAGCATGCGGCCTAATAATACTTTGTTCCATAAGTTCAAATCGAGCAACCCTAATCCTCCTTTCCTTTTAGGTGAACAAACTACTTGCCATGCCATCTTGTGTGATCCATGATTTACTGTATTACGTGCCCGCAAAAATTGACGGATCCTCTTCTCAACCTCGTATATGGTTTACTTTGGAAGTAAGAACACTGCATCCAATATGTACACATGGAGATGAGGACTGCTTTTGCTAACTGTAGACGCATTGCATAACTCATATGCTTCATGCCCCAACTTTCAATTTTCTTAAGAATCTTGTCAATAAGACTCTTACAGTCTGTGTGAGTGAGTCTCCTAGTAACAAAGGGAATACCCAGGCATCTGATAGGGAGGGAACCCATGGAAAAAAGGCATGTGGTCCAGTATAAGAAGCTTATCATCCTCATTTAACCCAGAGAAAATTTTTTGGCATTTGTCAGGGTTAAACCGTAGTCCCATGAGAACTGCAAATTTGTCAAGGGCATCAACAAGGCAAAGGACAGAGTCTACATCTCCATGAGCAAATAAGAACAGATTGTCGGCAAAGCATAAGTGGGTATCCATTGCGTTTTGCAGCGCCAGTGATACTTGAAAGCATAAGCAACAACTTTCGCACTAACAATTCTATTAAGAAGTTCCATAACCAGGACGAAGAGGTATGGAGAAAGAGGATCACCTTGTCGGAGTCCATTAGTACTATAAAAATAACCGACCTGTTCACCATTGAAGTTCATTGAAAACCTTGGTGTAGTGATGCATTCGGATATTAGATCAACCAAGTGCTGATGTGTGTTTATAGCTTTGAGAACCCCAAAAATCGCATCCCATTTTACCATGTTATAAGCTTTCATGAGATTAATCTTTATTGCCACTCATTTACTTTTGTCTCCTCTATGGTAGTTATGTAATAGAGCTTGGCACAATAGGATATTTTCTAAGATTTGTCGCCCAGTGATAAAAGCTGTTTGGTTGAGGTCGACGATCAATGGAAGCATGCAACTTATTTGCTCTGCAAGTAGCTTAGATATAATCTTGTATAAGACATTGCAACATGAGATAAGTTTGAACTCCTTGAGGTAGGACGGGTTTGGAACCTTTGGCACAAGGAAAATCAAAATGGAATTTATAGATTTCAACATTCTTTTTTACGAGAAGAAGTCCATGACAGCTTTCTCAATGTCCTGGCCCATGATAGGCCAAGCGCATTTGTAAAATAGACTGTTAAAACCGTCTGGACCCGGAGCTTTGTAATCATTGAAACCCTTAAGACTCTGAGGTTATCTGATCTCTTAAGTGTAGGAAAGGTAACAAGAGCATTGACATCTTCATGGAATAAAGAAGTAGACCTCTCATATGGAATACTTGCATGCTTGGAGTTACCAAGAATGAGCTGATAATATGATATAATTGAATTTTTAAGAGTACCCCCTCGGCAATAATAGAGTCATCCTCAAATTTGAGATGAATGATCTTGTTCTGGGCACTCCTCCACATCATGGAGGCAAAGAAAATCTTACGGGATAAAGACACTAGGAGTGCCATAACTTTCGTACAGCGCTCACTTGAGTGCCATAACTTTTTTTTAGCTCACTTAAGTGCCACATCGAAGTAAAATGGATCATTTGAGTGCCATTTTCCGACAAATCATCCTATGTGGATTTTTTAATTAATTTTACATCCAACGTGGATTTTTTTAATGTTATTTTATTGATTTTTTTGAAATTTTTTTTCTTTTTCTTTATCTTTCTTATTTTTCTTTTTTTTTTTCAACGTTGGCGAGGGTTGCCGTGACCCTTGCCGGAGGCCTCACCCTTGGCCAAACTGGGCAAGAGCCTCCTCGACATCGGCCGGTATGGCTGCGAAGGCCCTTGGCGAGGCCATCGCAGCCTTGCCGGCTGCGAGCGAAGCGGTGAAGGCTCTCGCCAAATATGGTGAGGCTGCCTTACCCATGGCCGCGAAAGCCCCTGGCGAGGCCATTACAGCCTCGCCGGTCGTAGGTGAGGCGACGAAGGCTCTCGCCAAATCTGGCGAGGCCGCCTCGCCTGCGGCCGCCCAGATCTAGTGACGGCCTTTGCGGCCTCGCCCAGGGCCACCAAGGGCAAGGCAGCCCTCGCCCAATCTAGGCGAGGCCTTCACAGCCGGCGAGAGTCGCCGGTGACCTTTGCCGGCATTGAAAAAAAAATTTGCAAAAAAAAAGAAAAAGAATAAGAATAAAAAATTTAAAAAATACTAAAAAATTATCCATGTCAGCTCCGGTGAAGCCAC